GCCAGGCCTGAGCTGAGTCTGGAGGGGACAAGGAGGACTATGGGGGAGAGGAAACTCTCCCACATACTCACCAGGCCTTGACTAGGACTGGATCTGGGTGTTCCTGGAATGTGACAGAATTTCCTACTCCATGTGGGGGATGTGGTTGGGTACTATGCAGTGATGAGGGGCATCCCAAGAGGGTCAAATAGGGTGTCACCCAAGCTGCGCCTGGGTCCTGCCTGTGCAGGGTAGCCGGAAGCTCTCTCACACACTCACTGGGCCTGTGCTAGAACTGGGTCTGGGGTTTCCCGGAACGCGGCAGCAATTTCTACTCTGTGGGCAAGGTGGAGGAGGTGCCGCAGAGTGGTGGAGGGCGTCCCAAGGGGGTGGAAGTGGTTCTCACCCACACTGCGCCTGGGCTGGGTATAGTAAATACCCCTGGTTCAGGGTAGCCAGAAGCTCTCCCACATACTCACAGGGCCTGGGCTAGGACTGGCTGGTCAGTACTGTTTTATGCCCTTTCTAGGGAGGCTGGGAGGTAGCAGTGTTCCAATAAAGGGGGCACAACATAGTCTTGCATTTTGTGTCCCACAAGGAAAGAATGGTGAACCATATACCTTGTAGGAGGCAAGGAGGCAAGGAGGAGTAGCTATGCCTGCTGGAGATGGCCGTGTTGCAGGCACCTGAATTAGGTAGAAATATTACAGGCAGGGAGACAGGCCAGGCCATCAATGAGACAGCACAGAAGACAAGATGCCTTGCAACTGTAAGAGGGAGAAAGGCTCCAGCTGTGAGCCAGACCTAAAGACCAAGGATCGAATAAATGCTCACCTCCCTAAAGGTAAGCATCAAGGACTGATCATCACCTTGAGGAAGCCAGGAAGAGTCACTAGTGCCAACATACCGGCTAGTGGAAAAACTCCAGCTGTGTATTCATGCCACTTGCTATGTGACTCCCTTCTCCATGAGATCCTGAATTTAACCAAAGCTACCTGTGCAATGATGCTTGTATCTTAACTGGTTGACTATAGTTTTGTTCTACCTCATGCCCACCTAAGCGAGTTTCCAGGTTCTCCATCATAGACTCACCTCACTACAAGGTTTTACTCTATAAATATCCATGGAAAGGGCTGGGGAGATAGCTCAGTAGAATAAGCACTTCCCTGGCAAGCCACAAGACTTGAATTCATTCCTCAGTTCTGCCAAAAAAAAGTCAATGGAAGACACAGCTTTGGAGGCAGCCCACTCAGGGCCCCCTTCTGTACTTTGCTTGGACAGGAGCTTTCTTTTTCCAATAAATATATTCTAGTCTTAACCTCCATTGTTGCTAAAATTCATTCTTCAGTCTTAGAGAACACAAACTCAGCCCAGGTATCTTTGAGGTTGGGAGGTTCATTTCCTCATTTCAATGGGGCAGTGTTGATCTATAGAGAGACCCGAATAGCCACAAGGCAACCTGGTGTGTGCTGCTTCAGCACAGCCTGCTCTATACAGATCTGAAATCGGTGCTACAGTCACTTCCTGCATGGACACTGTAGCTTCAAGGCTTTCAGGAACATCTCAAGAAGCACTTTGTGACAGATGTAATGTGAAGGATCTCAGGACAAGAAACCTTCTGTAATACAGGAGAGCCCAGACATACATTTCATGTCACTGGCCTCTGTTGCAAGACTTACAAGATTCTGGGCAAAAAGTCAGTCTGTCCAAGGTCCATACTAGCGCAGGATCAAGCTGTGGCCAGGGAAACTACATAAGCATTTGTTCCCAGTCAGGGAGACACTATGAAGGGAGCATCTGTGATGGGTACACAGCAACAGCACCATGGGCATCAGAGAACACAGTCCAAGACACTGTGCAGATATACACTTCAACTCTGAGGACAGAATACAGAAATCAATCAAGTGTCCCCAGGTCTGCCCTATGCATGAAGGAGGATGCAAGGGCTGCCACGTACATTAGGCATTTGGAAAGCTCTCTCCTTCCTAAGGCCAAGCACTTGGTCAATAGTCATACTAGCTCTGGCTCTGGAACCCTTCTCCTCAGCAATTCCACACAGCCCCTCAGCACAGAAATGCATCCCTGGTGGACTTCATCTGACCCTCATGTGAGAGCCCAGCAGCACAGCAGGCCTAGTTTCCCAGCCAGGAGCACACTTCCCTTTTTTCCTAAACCAGGAAGCAGTGTTGCTCTTGTGCAGCCTTAAGGTGGCTGTGAACTTGTGGGTTTCTCTCCTGAGGGATGGGGCCAGCTGTGGAGACACTGTTAGAAAGCACTTCCCAGCTTCAGATTTCCCTTCAAAGAGGCTGAGGGAGTCACTATCTTCAATTAACTGTCACTTTTTCAGCAAGGGAAACACTTTCGCTGGTAGATGCTCTTCACAGGTGCCAGGCCTGGAGACTGCTGCAGAACAGAAGGGGCACGTGCCTTGGCCTGGCCTCTGAGGTCTTTCCAACAACTCTGTGATGCACTAGAGGCACAGGGACATTGGAGGTGGTGCTGCTGGTATTGCGCAAAGTAGCTCCCAACTGGAAAAATATCTGAGAGGGCTTTGTGCTCTCCAAAACCAAAGATTGGATTTTAGGAACAACAGAGCTTAAGAGCAGAATACTTTTAGTAGGGGAAAGAAAGCTTCAATCCAAGAGACAGAAGGGCCCCTGAGTGGGCTGCCAAGAACCCTGCCTTTTCTAGGGATTTTGATAGAGCAAACTCATGAGGTGAGGCAGGTCCAGGGTAGGAGGAATGGGAAATGTGTGCTTTACTCTGGTATCCTGTTTTCAGACCATTCTTCACATTCTATGAAAATGATCACAAGACGTCAGTAGTACCCACTGAGAGCCTTCCTGGGGCTCCTGCGCCCCGACTCCCAGTGCACGAGCATTCCAGCGCTTTCTCAGTGCGCTTTCTCCTCCCTACAGGGAGGCGCGTGTGCTTTGAACCTTCTGCCCTGAAACAATGGAATCTCAACTAAAGTTTCGCACTTCTGGAATCACTAAGAGAATTTTACAAATTCTGTCACACCTGTCCTGTCCCTGTGTTCTACTGTAGATTACAGATTCTCTGCACCTCCATGGGATGACTCTCTGCTCTTCTGTCGACATTGCTTAAAGCTGACTTTAGAACTGTAAATAGCCTCTAGGTGTAGGCTAATTATCGTGAAATCTCTTTGCTGTGAAAAGCACACTGATATGAAAAAGAAACAGCAATCTACTGACCCAGAGAAAATATTGACAAATCATGTATCTAACACAGGACTTGTTCTCTAACAAAAAAAAAATAATAAAAGCAACAAAAAATATGCTTAAAGTCAACAAGAAAAATCCAGAAGGAAGGACAGAAAATGTACATGTAATAAGTTTTACCTGAGCAATGATCCTTGCAGTCTTATCGGCTGACAATCATTTTGCCTCATTGGTGACCGCCAGGGAGTTCCCATTCCTCCTACCCTGGACCTGCCTCACCTCATGAGTTTGCTCTATCAAAATCCCTAGAAAAGGCGGGGTGCTTGGCAACACACTCAGGGACCCTTCTGTCTCTCAGATGGAAGCTTTCTTTCCCCTACTAAAAATATTTTGCTCTTAAGCTCTGTTCCTAAAATTCAGTCTTTGATTTTGGAGAGCACAAAGCCTTCTCAGATACTTTCTGGTTGTTAGACAGGACTCATTATTTTATCAGTGTACGTGTGCAGTACATGATGTTTTATCCATTCTGTGGGATGAGCACGTGTGTGGCCCACGGTGTTCTGCTTCCCTTCGCCTGCTCACCTGCTTTCCTTTTACTCATATTATACAAATTAACACATAAAGAATATTTTGCAGCCCCCTGTGCTTTGTGTCTTTCCACGGCCAGTGCCTCTGTCCCTCCTCCCGAGTTGTCCTTCCCCTTCACACAGAAGCTTTGGGTCCTTCCCAAGTCTGAGAGCCCAGTGGACAGCTTTGCTGCAGCGTGGAGGGCGAACCAGCCAAGCCCCACTGGACGAATCTGAGGATTCTGACACAGAATGGTCGCCT